TTTAAACAATCAGATTAGAGCCTACCTAAAAAAATTTCAAACCTAAAGGTTAAGTGCGTGTAGCCAAGGGCATTTTGGTAAGGAATAAGATAAAAGGCACGAGTATTTTATTCCCAAAGGTCTACTATTCCTCGTGGTTTGGTGCCCATCTTTGTCATATGATAAAAATACCCTTTAGGAGAGGCTTGCGGCTAACGGAATCGCCTTCAGGCACAGGACCACATGATCCACTTTGTCCAGGTCCAAGAAACTCTGCTTAAGTGGCTCTTTCAAATATTGTAATCTATTTGGAATTTTTCAAACAAGAAAAGAAAAAAAAAAAATTGAATCTGACCATCCAAATATCCTCACGAGCAGGTTGTAAAATGACTTTGATAATTTTTTATTTTATTAATGAGAAATGGGTAGGGCCCACAATCCCCACTTATTTACCAACAAAAAAAAAAAAAAAAAAAAAAGGCAATTTTGTATGCTTTTAGAATATGAGTTTTTTGAGGCACATATGGGCACGTCTGGTGCGCGTGAGATCAACTCTCTTATGTGTTTTTGGTGTAGGATTTTCTTCGCATCGGTTGGTCCCATTGAATTTTTGTGCACCCATTGGCAGCCAATTGATGTGAAAAAATTCCCCGTACCTAATGACATGAAGAAGTTTTTTTATGTAAAAATATTTTCAATGAACTAATTTCACACATACCATACATGCCCTAAATGCCTATGATTGTATTTTATTTTATTAGTTTATTTGTTTGTTTGGTGAGGTTGGTTATGTAGCCCTAAAATTACCCTAGATAGGATTCTAACCGACGTAATGAATGCCCCACCACAAAAGATTATCTGAAGAATCATATCTTCTAACTTACTAGATGAAAAGGGAGAAAAATCCTACAATATTGCTAGAACTGTATCATATTCCTCTAGGGCTCTAGTCTTAATTTTACTTTTTTTTGAGGCCTTAAATTAAATTTCAAACCATATCAATATCTTTCTTTAATTTTTTTGAGTGGTAGTGAGAAACGATATGGAAACTTGTGACTTCACTGATGGTACAACTTTTGATAGAGTAGAATGTCGGACTAGAATTTGTGTAGCCAACTTTAAATGGTCACTGAGGGTACAATTTTTGATAGAGTAGAATGGCGGACTAAAATTTGTGTAGTCAACTCTAAATAGTTTGGAAAAAAAGCTATGATGATGATAATGATGAATTTTTTGATCTTTACCTTGTGGAAATTGATATTGTCGTCGAAAGGAATAAATAGGCGGGCTCTGGTGGATCTGAGCCATGTGAGTGTGTTCCTGCACACCGGCAAAAGCACCAGAGCCATGTTCAGTTTGAGGGTCTCGGCAGCGCCTTTGGCAGTGAGCAAACAATACCCCACCACTTCAAACGCTGCTTTCTTCTTGTATTGCATGAATTTCCATGCAAATAGGCCAGCCATTATAAGCATCCATATTGACAGTATCCACACCCTTTGCCAATTCTCTTGCCAAAAGTACCTGGTCCAAGACTAACCCACCCTTTTAGACAGAATGAATTTCATTTCTGGTGAATTCTGTTTTATAAAGTTCATTCATATCCAATTCCTTATGAAAAACTATAGAATAAGACCATGTGCTTCCAGTATAAGGGTCACAATTACTCAGGTATGAAATCAGGCTGTTAGAGGTGTGTCAAGGCTCAAAGTCCGTAAGAAGTGTTTTCGGATTTTGTGGCACACTCTTAGCTATCAAAATTTTCATTCAATGTCTGGAGATGATTCTGGTAAATACTCTTGTAATATATACTCTTATTATTTATTATTAATTATAGGATTATTTTTAATTGTCAAAAAAAAATGCTATTATTTATTTATTTATGGATGAAAATAAAAACTGAGGAAACGGAGAAAGGCATACCCGATGCTACTACTTATTCTTCGGACGAGATTCTTGGACTTAAACCCAATATTTTGACTCCAAGCTTGGCTTGTAGTGCTTAGTGGGCGGCTATAATTCATGTAGTTATCCCTTTGCAATAGCAATGCCTCGAGTTGCCACAACTAAGAAGAGAAAAGGATTAAAACGCACACACAAAAAAATGTTTTACTTCAAACTTAAGTTGTTAATGCACAATTAATAAAAGTTGTCTGGTTTTCTTTAAGGCCATGTTAGGGTAATCCGTGAAAATGCCTTTTTTCACATTAAAGAACTCTCCTATGTGATAAGTTGTTGGAGTTTTCCACATCAATTGGCCCCAACATATTTTATCACACCAATTGCCATAAAAAACTCCTATACTTAATCACATCGAGGAGTTCTTTCATGTGAAAATAATTTCACAGGTAGCAAATGTGCCCTAACATTTCATAGAAAAGTTGAAATGGGTTACCTCAATGTAACCGAGGCTTTCAGGGTCGAGTTCTTCCATGATCAGGGTGGCATATTCTTGAGCTTGTTCCTTCAATTTTGACAACTTATTTGCTGAAGCACTGAGAATTATCAACTGCGAGAAGAGACCTTGAATCAATAGAAAAATAATATTCTTTTAAAAATGATTTTTGGTTGGTCACTGTTTCTTTTTTTTGTTCCCCCCATCAATTTTGTATGACATAAACCCAAGTGCACAACTAAGATGTCCTTATATAAAATTAGCCTTTAATATTATTTGATATGAGAATTATTGAATATTTTAGAGGTGCAAAATGTAATATTGTTGTTGAACAACTCGGATGATCGAATATCCTTTTCCCAAACATGTCCTCACCTGTCTACCTAAATTCCCAATATTAATATGATTTCTATCACGATGCTTTGCAAGTTTGTCAACATGGAATCAAAATTTTGGGTGAGGACCGATTCCTTGTCATTTATGGACGCCAAATTTGGAGTTATCACTAAAAGTAAAAAAATTATTTGGTGGATTTAGTAGCATTTATTTAGAAGAATTTATTTTGTGGACATCCCCCGATATGAGGTATTTGTTGTGACGCAATAACTGAAAAATGCCTACCCTTTGACAGCAATTATATGTTAGTCCCTGATAAATTTTAAGAGAAAAGAAAAGGCCATGTCTTACCGTTGAATGTACAATCGGGTGGCTATGATTTGTTCCATTGACAAGATTTAAAGTTTAAAAGAGATTTTTTCAAACTTTGTGATACACCTCAGCAGTGAGATCTTACCTTTGATGACTATAGGTGATTGTGACTGCTTTGTGATTGTGACTGCTTTGTATGAAAGATGAAGTTTTTATATAAAGCTTAGGCTTTAGAAAAACAAAATAAAGCTTCACCTCAAATCCTCATTCCAGAAAGCACTATTGGCATAAAAAGTCTTAGCTCTAAAATCAATTTCCAATGCCAAAAATAAAATTTGCAACTAAAAAAAAAATACAGATCTTGCGGATCTATGAACATTTATTAGGGCAAAATGGACGGTCTATAAGATTTGTTGCAATACACACTATTTTTAGAATTTGAAATCCTAATTTTTTTTCACAACTATAATGTTCAAACAGAAATGATTGATTTAAAGGTTTTTCAATAATTTAATTGTAATTTTCCCTAAGTTATTAGATGAGGGTTTACTTATTTTACTAGGTATGCAGCCCTATCAAACTATTTTTTTTCTTGTATGAAAGATAAATGGTATCTGCAAAATTCACTTTTGAAGGCCAAAGAGAGTTTTCTCTTTTTCTCTCCATTTTTTTGTCTTTTGCTTTCCTTGTTTTTTTGTGGAGAAAGCAATATTCCTGCTTAACCCTTGGGAATTTTTTTTCATACGGGTTGGACTATATTGCTATAACATGCGGTCGGAAGGTGTAAAACATCCATCTTAAAGATAAATGTAAATAGGTGGCCCATTTAAAAACAAGTGTAATTAACAGTTTAAATATTTTTTAATACAATTATTATTTCTAGTTTTTAATTTTTTTTTTTTTCATATTAATGATCTCCATGTTAAAGATTATATATTCTAAAAAAATCAGATCAAATTATATTTAAAAAATATATTTATTGCCAAACCCACGCTCCTACTATATGCGAGCTTGGCACATGGAAACCGTGTCCTAACCCTAACCACCCTAATGCCTAGACAAGCTTGTAGACTCTAGTTCAAGACAAATAAGCTGAGGATAAGAGGCACAAAGATGTACGCGTGTCAATTTTCTTCCAAAGGAATTAGAGCCACAAGAGCAGAGAAACTATGCTACATATTCCAATTATTAGAAAGAGAGGGAGTGAGAAAAAAAAGAGCTTTGAGAAGCCAGTCATCTGGTTTTGTGAAAGGGATTTTACTCACCTCTTGAACTTCCTCTCTCGTTATTTTCCCATCAGCATTTGTATCCACCCTACAAAACAACATGGAAAACGACTTCATCAACCTCAAATGAGCAAACCAATAATATGAGTAGGGACGGCAGTGTGCCCTCGGCCGCCCCAGTTGACCACACCCTAAAAAGCTAGGGTTTGGGCCACTAAATGTGGCCCCGATCAGGTCTGTGTCCATGCAAGGAAAGGCCAATCCAACCCTTATTTTTTTTTTATCTTATTTCATTTGATTTTTTTTTTAATTCTACTCAGTGTTTATAAAATCGGGCAGTTCGATCTTTTTAGAAAATTTCAAAAATATCCCCGTACACAAATCGAGTTTTTAAAATCTATTTTTTTCACTAATTTTCAACTTCATTTGGATTTTCTTTATTTAATCATTGCTTTAAATACTTTCCATATTTTTTTAGATTTTTCTGTATTTTTTTAAGGGTGCGGTTGGCATACGGACGCATCCGGTAATGTGCATTTCAAATTTTATCATGGTATGTTGTAATTTTGATGTAAAATGTTCTTAGGATTTTCTCAAAATCTATTTTTATGTCTAATTATAAAATTTTAAACTTTAAAACGGGTTAAAATCAAGTAGATCCATAGACCTATGGAAAATCTTGAAAATGGACGGTGTAGATAATATGTTGTAAAATGCACTATTTATGAGACTTAAAATCTTTTATTTTTCATGGTTGATGTCGAGATGATCGATCAAAAGGTTTTTCAACATTAAAATTACCTTTTCCAATGAATTTTTGAGGTGCATCCATAGTTCTACGTTATAAGGTTGCATCTTCATATAAACTTTTTCCTTTTTTTTGAACGTGTTTTTGACCGATCGGGACTTGCCAGGTTAGATTGGCTGAATCGGTGGATTTACTGATTACTCGATACCGGCCCTTGGCCAGTTCGACTTCGAACACCGATTCTACTTGGCTAGGCCCGGCCCGCCCTAACAGGCCAGGCCAGGGCCAAGGCCTTCATCAGCCCTAAATATACATAACACTAGAGAGAGAGAGATTGGTTACCATAATCGCCTAATTTCTACCTCTATCCTTACATGTCAAAGAAAATTTGGAGGCGAGCATCGAAACTCTGGTCGGATATTTGTAACCAAAAATCATAGAGCTCCTCCTTTGTGATCTTCTCTATCTTTTGATGTCGCCTCCTTGCTAATGCATCAAACACGCCCCCTGCAAACTCCTTAGAATCATCCATACCTGAACACCATCAAATGGACAATAAAGCAGCTCCGCAAAATCATAAAGTAAAGGAAAAGGAAAAGGAAAAGAAAAAGAAAAAGAAAAAGAAAAAGAAAAATAATGTGAAGGTCTCGAGCGTCAAATAGAAGCATCCGAAAAAAAAAAAACTGTTTAATTTAGAAGGTTTCGAAACACAACATTGAAAGGAACTTCTAAAAATTTCTAAGCAAAAAGAATGACGAATTTGGAGATTTAAGAATAAAGATATTGGAAAAGATAAATTCAGAATTTTGAGAACCCAAAATATTTGTGAATTTCCAATTTTAAATTTCTGCTAAATTCACGAGAAATTTAGAAAAAATAGGTTTTTTCAAAACCTTTTCCAAAGCAGAGAACTGGTCCTACACACTCGGCTAGAGAGAGAGAGGAATATACAGATACACCTGCGCAAAAGACAGTGAGATGGATGCACCGATACACTTGTCAGAGGAGAGAGAAGGAGGAGAGAGAGGAAGGGATAGACATGGATTCACAAGGAGAGAGAACAGAGAGAGGCTTACACTTGGCAAGCACAATGAGGAGAGAGAAATTGAGAATGAGGAGAGAGAGAGAGAGAGAGAGAGAGAGAGAGAGAGA